GGATGAAAGGTTTTACCTAAATACAATTATCCCATTAAATCCACAATATTCGTGCCAAACAGGGTGGCCTTTTATCTGCATTTTTCTAATGTTGACATTCTGAGATGACAACTTCCTTGTTCCACGGGGATAAGGGAACTGAAAGAGTTTCATTTGATTTTTCTGTTTTTTGTCTAATTTCTGAAAGGGAAAAAAGAAAAAGTTCTTTACCAGTGGGCAGTGGTAAGCAGTAAAGGCTAATGGCCTTTTAGAAGCGAGAACTCGTTCAATATTAGAAAGAAGGGTGACTGAGCAGGGAGCTTGACAGAGGGGAAGGTCAGATCCCAGTAAGACACACACAGGAAAAAACTGCAGCGACTGCCTGACATGGAAGAGGGGAGAGATGACAGTGTTAGAGTTTCCTGGGTGGCAGAACCCTCCTCAGACTCAAACAGAAGGACCGGGAAGGAGGGAAGAGATACTCTGTAAAGAGGTGAACTTAGGGGAGAAAGCCACTACAGAACTGCTGGGTGCGATGGTGCAGGCCTGAAATCTCAGCAAGTCACGAGGCAGAGGCAGGAGGTTTGTAAGTTTGAGGCCAGCTTTAGCAATTTAGCAAGGCCCTAAGCAACTTAGAGAACCTGTCTCAAAACAAAAATTTGTTTAAAAAGGACTGGAGATGTAGTTCTGTGGTAAAGCACACCTGGGTTCAACCTTAAGTCCAAAAAGAAAGAAAAGAAAGCCACTGCAGAGACAGGCTAAGACCCCAGAGTGAGTCCACCAGACAGGGTGGCCTGGCCAGAGGGTAGGAGCTGGGGCTGCAGGAAGCTTGCACACAAAGCTCTGCAAGGCCTGGTGGCTCTGTTGGTCCTTCAGGACTGTGGCCCTGGAGGAGGTGAGAGCAGCTGCATCCCACTTTGGAAGCAGGCCCAGGGGAAGAGGCCATACAGGGCAATGGAAAACAGTTAATTCAAAGACCCGAGTGTCAATTTAGTTCTGTTCCTATCCTGTAGTAGATCAAGTGATCCTAGGCAAGGCACTCACCTTCTCTGAATCTCAGCACTTACCTGCAAACTACAGAATTACCTGACGACCCTGAGGACTGTGGTGGGTGAAACAGTGAACAGGACGGCACTGCAGAAAGATCCATACACACACAAGGCTTCGCTTCACTACTCAGGTGGTCAGGGAGAGACCACCCCACCAGGTCCAGGCAGAAGAGTCCTTTTTAAGCATACACATTTTTCAAATAATACACATTTTAACTGCCAGCACAGTGAAAAAAATCTTTTAATTATACATAAATATGTAACTATAGGTAATTATTATATTTCATACCCACATTAATGCATATATATGCTCACATATACACATGTACTTCCTTCTAAAATGCCACTTAAAGCCAGGCATGGTGGTGCACAACTGTAATCCCAGCAGTTTGAGAGGCTGAGGCAGGAGGATTGCAAGTTCAAAGCCAGCCTCAGCAATTTAGTGAGACCCTGTCTCTAAATAAAATATAAAAAGGGCTGGGGATGTAGCTCAGTGGTTAAATGCCCTGAGATCAATCCCCAGTACCAAATACATTTTTAAAATGCCACTTATTAATAACATATAATTATAGATATTGTGTAACAGATACATATATACCCATATATTAAGGAATCTGCTATCCATAGTCATGCATATATAAACCTCAGTGTTTCACACTTCATCTGACTTACCCTAGATACATGCTGAAACAAACTTTGTCACCAGAAATGCTTGGGGCAATTAAGGAAAAGAAAAAGGAGGATAACTAAGATCCAATCTAAAGGAACAAAAGAATCAAGGTGGGAAAAGTGAATGGCTGTCCTGATTAAATGTGTTCCAGGGCCTGGTGCTGACTCTGGTGAGGAAGTGACAACCAGGAACAACCAGAGAACACAATCAGGCAGTAAAACCAGTCGGCCTGGGGCAGACTGTGTGGTCTTAAGATAGGGATCACTGAGTTTCCTGCTCTCCACTGTGAGCTCTCTAGGAGAGCAGCAGAGCTGCTAAGGAGACTGTCACAGCAGAAGACATGTCTCTAAAGAAGGGTCCAAGGAGTTCCCAGAGGAGAGGCAGAACTCAACCCAGGACCAGTGAGGTTCTTGGCATGTGTAATGGAAAATAATTTCAGCACAAGCTAGGCAAAGGCATAGACAGGTTTATTTAAGGCGGCAGATACATATTTAAGGGAGAAAGTAGGCTGTCTCAAGAGTGAGGAGCAGCCCCGACTTGGTCTGGGATCCAATATTTACAGAGGGGCTGGACTAGAGGTGGATCCAGGCTGGAGCTGCACAATTTTGCACCAGCTTTCCAGCCTGGTCTCCCGCACTTTACAAGGGCATGGGCCAAAGTTTACAATGGTGTTTTCTGCATCTCAATGGCTTGATTCTGCATTTCAATGGTTGGAGGGTGTTTCCCTTAAAAATTCCTGCATACTCCTCTCTCCTCATCCTAGATCCCAATGTCACTAGGACTGGGAACCACAGCAGAGCGACTGTATGATGGCCTGGACAGCTATTGCAGAAGGGCCTTCTCTTGTAGGAAACAAGTAAAAAAGCCATCCGCAGGGTCCAGGCCCCCACAGCCTGCTTTGCCCAGTCTCCACTCCCAGGTTCCTTCCACTTTTTCCAACAAGAGCAAGGATATCCAGGACCAACCACCAAGGCCCTCAAGCTTGGAGAAAAGAGGGTGGGGCATTAGACACCAGCAGCACCAAGTAAGCACGGAGGAAGGAAGGGCAGTGGGAGGCCTGGAGGGCTGGTTAGGAAAGGCTTGAAGGCCGAGCCTTCAAGGAAAATGAAGATTCAGGATGCTGAGAGGGAAAAGGGGTATTACAGGAAAGAGCAAGTCAGGACAAGGAGGTAAGAAAAGGGCCACTACAGTGAGTCGTGAGCTAAGCAGTCTGACTCTAGTTAACGGAGAGGCAACAGGAGACTCAGTAAAGACACAGGTGATGGAGGCTGGGTTGGGGCTCGGTGGCAGAGTGCTCTCCTGGCACGTGCGAGACGCTGGGTTCGATCCTCAGCACCACATTAAAAAAAAAAAAAAAGGTATTGTGTCCAACTGCAACTAAAAAATATTTTAAAAAAGAAACAGGTGACGGCTGCACTGTGGAGAACCTCCCCCCAGGCTCCCATTCTCTGACCAAAGTTTCTGTCTCTGTTGTCTAAGGACTTTGAGTTTGGCCCAATACTAAAATTTTCTCTGTCTTTTTGTGAGTTTTGATCTGGGGAGAAGGTAAGTGGCTTTCAGATTCTTAAAAGGATTTATGATGAAAACTACTAATGCAGGCAACTGGCAGAGTAGCCTATGTAGACAGGAGACGAGCCTCAGGTAGAGAAGTTAAGACCATTTCTCTCCCTTCTGACCTTTCTTTTTTTTAAATAGTATTTTACTGTGTGTGTGTGTGTGTGTGTGTGTGTGTGTGTGTGTGTGTTGGTGTGGTGTTGGATGTTGAATCAAAGGCCTCGCACATGCTAGGCACTCAACCGTAGAGCCATATCCCCATTCCTTTTTATTTTGGAGGGCGGGTATCAGGGATTGAACCCTTGGGGGCTTAACCACTGAGCCACATCCCTACCCCTTTTTGTTTTTTTGAAACAGGGTCTCACTAAATTGCTGAGGATGGCTTTAAATGTGGGATCCTCCTGCTGTAGCCTCCTGAACCACTAGGATTATGGGAGTGCGCCACAGTGCCCACTTTATTTTTGAGACAGGGTGTTACTAAATTGCTAAGGTTGGCCTTGAATTTACAATCCTCCTGTCTTAGCTCCCACATTGCTGACTGCTGGGATTACAGGCATGGGACACTGTGCCCAACTTAAAATTTAATTAAAGAATTTTTCCCAGGTACAGTGGGCCACTGGTAATCCCAGATATTCAGGAAGCTAGGGCAGGAAGATCACAAATTTGAGGCTAGCCTTAGCAACTTGGCAAGACCCTATCTCAAAATAAAAAGTTAAAAAGGGCTAGGAGGTTAGCTCAGTGATAGAGTATCCCAGGCTCAATCCCCAGCACTGTTAAAAAAAAAAAAAAAAAATCTAAATTATCATTTTTACTTGCAGAACATGAGAAACTTGGAATTTTTTTTCCCACATCCAACAATCCTTTATCTTAGTGTATAAAAATTTCCTACTGTGCTTTACATTTTTTCAAATTATTGACAGAGAAGGCATTTTCAGATGTGCTTTCACTATGGCCTTTTCTCCCAGGGGAAAAAAAATAATAATAAGAGAATGAAGTTAACTCTTAGGCATTTCTTAAAGTGAATTCTCACCCAGATTGGCAGAACTAGAACAACAAGGAAATACACCCCTAGGGCAATACATCATTTCTTCCAAAGCTGAGCATTTATTTTATTTATAATGCCATTTCAGGTACAGCTCAGGGGGCCACAGACAGGTCAAAGAACACTCACCCACCTAAAGTTAAACTGGGTAAGAAAACACTGGCTGGCATCAGGACACAAAGATAAAACCCTGCTGCTGAGGAGCTGGGGAGAAAAAGAAACTCTCAGAGTTAAATGTGAGTAAAAGGGTCTATGAAAATAACAGGTTCATCTGGACAGTCCCTAAATTACAACTAGGCAACTTATCCAGAATAAGTAGTCTTCCAGAGAGTGAGAGGGCAAGTGTTCACAGAGCCTGAGGGGAATTAGGCCCACCAGCACATAGCGGGCATCCGAGACTGGGATCCAGCACATAGCGGGCATCCAAGACCGGGCAAGGCTGGAGGATCAGCACCTGCACACCAGTGCCACTCAGTACCAGGACACTTAAGGCACAGAGCTGAGCTGGGGAGGTAGCTCAGGGTACAGTGGCTGATGACTATGCACAAGGCCCTGGGTTCAATTAAAGAAAGGGGGAGAGGGAGAGAGGGGAGAGGAGAGGGAAAGGGGAGAGGGAGAGAGGGGAGGGATGGGAGAGAGAGAGAGAAAGAGAAAATAAAATACACAGAGCTCATGGAAGAGACTTAAATAACTAAATGGATAGACATTTACTACAAAAGTTGGTTTATTTCTCCTTCCTGTGTTTTGTATTTTCCTTTTATGTCAGTAAACAAGCAATAAAGTGATCAAAAATCCACATGATTAAATATCATCAAGTTCATCACACACATTTTGAAGTATAAAGCAAGAGATTGAAAAATATTTGCTAATTCAAAGCAAATTAGGTATCCCTCAAAATTGCACATTTTCCTCCTAGTTTGTTTACATAATTTAAAATACATATAGTGACCTTAAAACACCGATTAATATAGAATTCACAGCCTTGAACACATACACTACCTTCTTCTAAAGACAACACCCCTCAGACCTAGAAACCCATCAACGTGAGTCAACACCACGCTCTTCACACTTCTGGAACACTTCCAAGATTTTCCTCTAATTCTATCTTCTGCTGAGGGAACTCCAGGAACCTAGTAGTGACAGAGATCAATCCTCCAAAAATAGGGCTGAGCAGATTTGCTTCCCAGAGGGCCCTGAAGTTCCCAGACAGCAAATCTGGGGTTGAGAGCTACACAATGGAATGTTCAAGATAACTAATGTGCCTGATTGTCCTCAAAATCACAAAAGGCCTCCAGTTGTCAAAGCTAATTGTGAGTGAAGAGGCAGAACAAGTTGACAATAATTGGGAGATAGTCTGCTTCTTTAGCAAACGACGATGACTCTGAGACAGTGCCGGAGCCAACAAGCACGTGGCGCCATCTTTCCCAGCTCAGCTGGTAGAGGTGTTCTTAGTCCATGATGGGTTTGCAGCTCAACCCTGCAGGAGCTCTTTTTCAAGCTTTGATGCTTCAGAGGTGAGCACTCTCTACAAACTCGTTACCAAAGCAAAATGCAATGATCCTTTTTATTCATTATCCATGCAAACCATGCACAGCTCTCTCCTGTTCATCAGTTCTTGAGGCTGCAGTACAGGGTCCAAGGCCAATATGATACCAGGGTTAAAGGCATAAACCTCAAGGGGCCAACAGGGATGCCGGTAGATTCATCCGCCATCCAGTACATTCATGAAACAACCATAAAAATCATCACTAGTAATTCCTATAGTGTAGAAAAGTAATGCAGTCTTCACTCCTGGCCAGTGTCCAGGGTGGCTGGCAGTGTTGAAAGAGGTCTGGTAAGCCGAGGTTATGTTGGCGCTCTTAGACAACCCCAAATGTAGTGAATTAAAAGATCTTATAGTCTCGTGTCTCCCACTGTTCTTTTTTTCTTGTGAGCACAGTCACTCACTCAATATGTGAGCTTGTCTCCTTTGCACAAGAGAGATTATTTCCCTCACTATTAATGGTGAGATAAACAGAATTGTACAACTAGTCTGTGAAGAGAAGAAAGCATTAAATATGCAGTGACAACTTACTTCAGTTAGAGCATCATGTTTTGGACATAAACAATGGGTCTGAACAATTACATTCGTTTTGATTATTTAGAAAGATAATTTTAATCTTCAGTGAATTAGAAAATGACTTCTGAAAATTACAGTTAATATCACAACATACTAAATGACATATTAGCTATCAAAAAATAACTTAAGTGAAGGATTTCCATTAGGTAGAGCAAAACACTCTTGCTGCAGCCCCAGCAAAAAGCAGGGTTTCATAGATGGAAATTGTTTTTCTACAACAGCATGACCACACCAGCAGGTTCTCCAGAAGCTACTTCCCTTGACTTAGCAGGGAGGCCAAGGATGGAACCAGTCATATGGCTCCGTCTCCAGAAGCCAGGAGGTAACTAAAAGAGAGCTCCAGAGGCTTCCTGGGGTTGCTGATCCCAGGGCTCCTCGGGCCAGACAAGAAGACAACCCCAGGTCCTAGGGTGGCTAAGGATGCCTCCAATCAGGATGGCCCAGATCTAGGGACAGGACACTACAGGCATCCTTGGAGGACAAGGCCACCACCAGACTCTCAAGTAGATCTGGCTTGTGCACTGTTCCACCAATAGTGTGGCAGAGTGTGTAACACGCCTATTCATCACTTTAAAAGCACAAGGCCTTATTTCATATTGGCTGTTTCCCAGAGAGTACAAAATCCCAGCCAAGAGTGTCTAAGGTGTAACTACTATTTCCTCCAGAGATGTTCATCATTCAGAACCTGCACACAGGACAGTGTTAATCAGATCAATGCTTCTTTTTTAACTCTATGTTGCTTGGCACACACTGTAATTTCCTTCAGAAATCTCAAATTACATTTTAGCAGATAGAGAACAACCCAGAAGAGTGCACTGATTAACGGTTGGCAGATCTTAAGTAAGTCCCTTGTTGTTCTTCTGGAGTTATAAGTGGCAATACTCATTAGACTCAGATCAAGGATAAATTGAGGACCCTTTTCCTCCTTGAGATAAGAATGTGTATTTTTGACTAATAAAACATTACTTTTCACAAAAGGGTCTTTAAAAGCAATCAGAAATTTTGCTATTTCTCAAAAAGTGACTTAAATAAATACTCTAAACAAAATTACTAAGAAAAATGACAAGTTTATGAAAAAAAAAAAAAAAAAGGCATACACTTACCATGAGAATGAAAAAGTAGAAAACCCACATCCATCCTAAGTTGTCCTGGATTAAAGACACCAAATACTAAAAGGAAGAGAAATAAATTACAGTATAATTCTTAATAAATTAATAAATGAAGTAGCTAAAAAGTAGACTAAACAGCTATCTTAGAAAATAAGAAGGGAGTTAGGGTTTGTATGCCCATTTACAAAGCCCTTCCACGGACATGTTCCCATTTAAGCTTTATTAATGGTTCATTCTGTAAGTTTTCAGGGTGCAAATACAAAAACTGTATAAAAGATGTTACATTCAGGTTTATTTTTATTCACTCTGCTATTCAGAGAGGAAGATGAACATCCTCAAACCACTCTCACTCAAGCATTCTGTCTTCCAATGAAAGGAACAATCCATGCTTTCAGAATGCTTTGTCTTCTACATGAGCTGCTCACTTTTCAGCTCCGCCATTCACACAGGACTGCTGCTCTTCCTCGACACTCTACTGCATATTCTTTTATTTCACATTCAATTACTAAAGATTCTCATAGCATTTAATTCATTCTTTTTTGATTACAACAAAATGGATCTAACATAAAAGTTGCTGTTTTAGGCCAGCCATGGTGGTGCACACCTGTAATCCCAGTGGCTGAGGAGGCTGAGGCAGGATGATTACAAATTCAAAGCCAGCCTCAGCAAAAGCAAGGTGCTAAACTAATCAGTGAGACCCTGTCTTTAAATAAAATGGGCTGGATGGGGCTCAGTGGTCGAGTGCCCCTGAGCTCAATCCCAGGTGCCAAAAAAGAGAGTTGTCGATTTAACCACTTCTAAGTATACGCAACAGTGGCATCAGTTACATTCACAATGTTGTGCAACCATGAACATGAGCTGGAGTGCCTGTGTTTAATTTTGGGGGGGAAATACTGAGGAGTAGAATTGCTTGATCTTATAATAATTCCATATTTATTAATTATTTTTTTACATTCCCACCAGCAATGCATGGCTCTGATTTCTCCACATGCTCACCAACATTTGATATTTCATAGTTTTCTGATTACAGCTTCCCACAAGGCATGAAGTTGCATCCCTGGGTTTTATTGTTATTTTTGCTGTTGCTTTTGTACTGGGGATTGAATCCAGGGGTGCTTTTCCACTAAGCTTTTTTTTATTTTTTATTTTGAGACAGGGTCTAAGTTGCTGAGGCCTCATTAAGTTGCTGAGGCTGGCCTGGAATTTGTAATCCTTCCACCTCAGCCTCCCAAGTAGATAGGATTACAGGTGTGCGAACCACATCTGGCTCTCTCCCTGTTTTTTCTTTTCTTTGCTTTTTTTTTTTAGATATACATGACAGTGATGACAGTGGAATGTATTTTGACATATTAGACATAAATGGAGTATAACTTCCCATTCTTGTGGTTGTACATGATGTGGAGTTTCACGGTCATGTATACATATAAGAACATAGGAAAGTCATGTCCAGTTCCTTCTATTGTCTTTCCTATTCCCATCCCCCTTCCCTTCCTGTCTAATCCTCCTTTGCCTAATCCAATGAACTTGTATTCCCTGCCCCCTTGTTGTAAATTAGCATCCGCATATCAGACATTTGGCCTTTGGATTTGGGGGACTGGCTTATTTCACTTAGCAAGGTAGTCTCCAGTTCCATCCACTTACCAGCAAATGCCATAAAGTCACTTTTTATGGCTAATATTTCTTTTTTCTTTCTTTTTTTTTTTTTTGGTACCAGGGATTGAACTCAGGGGCATTCAATCACTGAGCCACACCTCTAGCCCTATTTCGTATTGTATTTAATACAGGGCCTCACTGAGTTGCTTAGTACCTCACTTTTGCTGAGGCTGCCTTTGAACTAGCGATCCTCCTGACTCAACCTCCCAAGCCACTGGGATTACAGGCATGCACCACCATATCCAGCCTGAGTAATATTTCATTGTGTATATAGAACACATTTTCTTTATCCATTCATCTGTTGAAGGGCACCAAGGTTAGTTCCATAGCTTAGTTATGATGATTTGAGCTGCTAGAAACGTTGATGGGGCTGTGTCACTAAAGCATGCTGATTTCAAGTCCTCTGGGTATATCCAAGGAGTGGGCTGACTGGGTCAAATGATGGTTCTATTCTAAGTTTTCTGAGGAATCTCCGTACTACTTTCCAGAGTGGGTGCACCAATTTGCAGTCCCACTACAAATGTACAAGTGAACCTTTCCCCCCACATCCTCACCAACATTGTTACTTACATTTTTGATAATTGCCATCTGACTGTAGTGAGATGGAATCTCAGTGTGGTTTAATTTGCATTTCTCTAATTACTAGAGATGTTGAACATTTTTTCATATATTTTTTGCCTATTCATATTTTTTCTTCTGTGAAGTTCCTGTTTGGTTCCTTTACCCATTTATTGATTGGGATTTGGTTTGGGTGTTAAGTTTTATGGGTTCTTTATATATTCTGGAGATTAATGCTGTATCTAAAGTGCAGGTTGCAAAGATTTTCTCCTATTCTTTAGGCTCTCTGTTCACATTTTTGTTTCCTTTGCTGTGAAGAAGCTTTAGTTTGATATCCCATTTATTGATTCTTGATTTTACTTCTTGTGCTTCAGACATCTTGTTGAGGAAGTCAGTTCCTAAACCAAAATGCTGGAAAGTTGGATGGGCCTACTGGGTCTCTGGTCTAATGCCTAGATCCTTGATCTATTTTAACTTTTGTGCAGGACGAGATAGTGGTTAAATTTTATTATACTACACATGGATTTCCAGTTTTCCCAATACCATTTGTTGAAGAGGCTATCTTTTCTCCAATGTAGGTTTATGGTGCCTCTTGTCTAGTATGAGATAACTATATTTATGTGGGTTTGTCTTTGTGTCTTCTATTCTGTTCCATTGGTCTTCATGTCTGTTTTGGTGCCAATACCATGCTGTTTTTCTTACGATAGCTCTGTAGTATAATTTAAGGTCTGGTATTATGATGCTTCCTACTTTTCTTTTCTTACTAAGTACTGCTTTGATTATTCTGGGACTCTTGTTTTTACAAATGAATTTCATGACTGCTTTTTCTATTTCTATGAAGAATATCATTGGAATTTTAATAGGAATTGCATTAAGTCTGTATAGTGCCTTTTTTTTTTTTTTTTTTTGGTAGTATGGCCATTTTGACAATATTAGTTCTGTCTATCCATGATTCTAGGAGATCTTTCCATCTTCTAAGGTCTTCTTTAATTTCTTTCTTTAGTGTTCTGTAGTTTTCATTGTAGAAGTTTTTTACCTTTTTGTTATATTGATTTCCAAGTTTTGTTGTGGTTTGGTTTTTGGGATTTTTTTGTTTTGTTTTGTTTTGGAGGCTGTTGTAATGGGATTTTGTTCCTAATTTCTCTTTCAGCTGATTCATTGTTGGTGAATAGAAATGCAACTGATTTACAGGTGTTAATTTTATATCCTGCTACTTTGCTGAATTCGTTTATGAGTTCTAGGAGTTTTCTGGTGGAGATTTTTGGGTATTCTAAATGTAGAATCATGTCATAGGTAAATATCTCCCTGTATTTTTGATTTGCATTTTCCTAATAAATAAGAATGTTGAGAATATTCTGTATATACTTGTCATGAAAATTTGTCCCTGTGTTTTCTTCTAAGAGTTTTACAATCTTAGCTCTTAAGGTTGGTCTTTAATCCATTTTGAGTTAACATTTGTACAGGACAAAGTAAGTATCCAACTTCACTCTTTTGCAAGAGGATATCCAGTTTTCCCAATACCATTTGTTGAAGAGATCATCCTTTCCCTCATTGAATTGTCTTGGAACCCTTGTCAAAAATTGATTGACCATAGACTTGAGGGTCACCTGTGTGCTTTTATCACACACTGCTTAAATTTTATAAGTGGGAAAATTAAAGCAGAACAATTAGCCTAGATTACAACATGTAAAGCAAAAAAGTAGAGGCTTAATCACCTGCGAAAGGAAGCATAGTGGCTATCTGAACACTCTGACTGCAACTTTTGTGTGGGGTGGGTAGGTACTAGGGATGGGCCCCAGGGGTACCCCCTACACTGAGCTACATTCCCTGCCCTTTTCATTTTGAGACAGGATCTCACTAAGTTGCCAAGGTGGCCTCAAACTTGCCTCATCCTCCCAGAGTAACTGGGATTACAGGCATGAGCCACCATGCCCAGCAAATTTATCTTTTTTTAAAACAGCATAGTCAATAAGTAATTCACATAACATAAAGTTCACCTTTTAAAAGTGTAAAACTAAACGGTTTCTAGTGTATCTTCAGAGTTGTACAATCTTGCCTAACTGTAATTTTTCGACATTATCATCAGCCCTAAAAAAACTTTTACCCATCAGTAGTCATTCCCCCATCCCACCCAGACCAACACAACCCTCAACCCAATTTTTTTCCCAATAGAGTTGTCTATTATGGACATCTCATATGAATATAACAAATATAGATAGATAGATAGACAGACAAGACAGACAGACACACTTTTCTTTTTCAGTACTGGATACTGAACCCAAAATCTCATGCATGCTAGGCAAGTGCTCTACTACTAAGCTACATTCCTGGCCCTATCAGCATAATATATATATGGGGTTTTTTTTGGTACTGGGGATTGAACCCAGGAGCACTTAACCACTGAGCCACATCCCAGCCCTTTTAATTTTGTATTTTAAGACATTCTCATTAAGTCACTTAGGGCCTTTCTAAGTTGCTGAGGCTGGCCTCAAACTTGCAATCCTCCTGCCTCAGCCTTCCGAGACTCTGGGACTACAGGCATGCACCACTATGCCTGACTCAGCATAATATTTTTGAGGTTCACCTATCATTCTTTTCTAACTGCTGTTTATCCATTCATCAGCTGATAGACATTTGGGTTGTTTCTCCTTTTTAGCTTCTATGAATAATGAAGCTTATGAACGTTTATGTATACGTTTTAATGTGGATATCTGTTCTCATTTCCCTTGGGCATGTACTACAACTTTATCTTACTGAGCCCCAGTTATGTGTCCAAACAGTGCTAAGCACTGGAAACACAAAGACGGATGAAACACAGTACTTGTTCCCAGGAATACAGAGCCTGGTGCAGAGGACAGATGGACAAACAGTAAAGGTGGATGCACGAAGCTGAGTGCTCTACTGGAGGTATGCATCCACTGCTATGGCAACCAGAAAGAGTAAACAATGAATTATTTTCTTGAGAAGATAGAAGAAGGGGCAGCAACCATATTACTCAGGGCAGTCAGGGGAATGGCTGAGGGATAGGCTAAGAGAGTTTGAATCTGAAGTCCTAGAGTTTGTGATTTCAGGCAGTGGGACATCCTTTGGAAATCAACATGGAGGAAGGAGGTTAAGGTACAGTGCTTGCCTCTCACGCATAAGGCCCTGGGTTCAATCCCCAGCAACACACACACACACACACACACACACACACACACACAACACAGAGAAGGAATGAGCACAGCTAACTATGATTCACTCCTGATATGCTTCCATGACCATGGAGGTCAGTCTAATGCTGACCCAGTCCAGTTAGGGATCTCAACATTGGCAGGTGAGATATTCTAAATAAAAGTATACTCCCTGAAATGCAATTATAATTCACCTATTTAATTAATGAAGAACACATCAGTGAGGAAGTATATTGGGAAAAGGAAGCCCAATACAGTCATTCTTTATCCTAAAAATTTAGATGTCTGACCTGATAACCAATAACATTTTAAAATTTCTACTCCAAAGTATGATCACATAATTCTCCAAATCTTGCTAAGGTTTTTCCCCTTCTAGTCTTATAACCAAATATGCTGAGCATGCAATTTGCCAACTGCATCATGCATTCCTTCTTTGATAACTTAGCAAATACCATAAGTTTATTGTGTGTGCCAAGCACCAGCTAGGTATGGGGGCTACAGAAGAATACAAGCCAAAATGCCACCTTTGTGGGCAAGAGGGAGGTCAACAATAAGCTACACTTCATGGCTGGAAGGTGACAAGCAGTAAGATGATTTACCTCTATACCCACTTTCTCAATTTACCACCAGCAATCAGAAACTCACTGCCCCCAAAGTAGGCAAGCTAGCAAACTTCCAAGCTATTAGTGACCTTCTAAATGTCCACACTAAGAAGCTCGGTCCTTCAGTGCTACTCCTGACCTTTCCACATCTATGGCCTATTGACCAATGCCTACTCAAATGCTATTCCCTTGATTGCATGTGACACTGGGCATTCTCTGAGGATCCACCTGCATTCTCTTTCCCCAGTAAATGTCTCATCCACTTCCATGGGTTCAACTATTTCACCCATGGAGACAAGTCCCAAATCCATATTTTTGTAAAATTACCATATCCCATGAGAGGTATGTTTCATGACATATCTCTTCCTGAAAGAAAGCCTGAATTTAAGCAAAAAGGGGCAATTTGAATAGTTCTGACTACATATGGTAAGCCAATCTTAGCTTACGGCTCTCTAATGTCAGACTGTATAAGAATCACCACAAAGGCCTACGGAAACACAGGCCCTAGGCCCACCACAGGAAGCCTGCAGTAAGCCCTGTGTCTGAATCCCAGATGATTCTGATACAAGACACTTATGGACCACGCTCTGAAATATTCAGGTCTCTGGGCATGCAGGAAACAATGTGCCTCAGAGGCAGTTGCAGAGTCCAGGGTCCCATGTGACAGGGACACATGTAAAGAACGGATGTACAGGGACACATATGCTTTTGGAAGAGAGACACTAAAAAGAGGAGAAAAATGGGGTCTGTATGCAGATGGGGATAATAGATGCATGCGTCTCACACCATCCCCACTTGGAGCGCCAAGTTTGGCCTGGGAAGAAGGGGGTGGTGGACTGGGGCAGAAGGATCAATTTTAAGAAGTCTTAGTTTATTTGCAGACAGGAAGAATCTGCAGGTAAAAATGGAAAGAAGAAACTAAGAAAGGCAGAGGACCTTCCGCATCAGTTCACAACAGCTGGGCCACAGAGGAGATGAAAACCTAAGGCTTTCGGCGTAGCAAGTATTCCACAGCACGAGAGTGCCACCTACTGTGGCCCAGACAGTGGCACTTTTCCACTCGCCATGAAAGATTTAGCATTTAATCCCAACCCATCTCTGTTCTCTCACCTGGCCCACAGCAGCTCCAATGCTCCCGGTTCCGTCAACAATTCCTGTGACCGTTGCTAAAGCCTCACTGCTCCCTTGGATCAGCTCTTGGCGACCCAGGTCCGCTGAAATAGCTGAGCTGATCATGTTAGAAGGTCCACCAATAAAAAACCCTGCAGTCAAAAACAGAACAGGTTCTTATGAAAACATGATTCATATCAACACTAGCAAGCCATTGGATAGGGCAAAATATCATTCTGACACTGTAATTAGTAGGTTAAAGAGGAATGGAAAGAAAAAGGAAAGTCCCAGATAGTATCATATTCAAACTGTTAACATCCACTCCTCTGGGATATTCTTGAGTTGTGTCACACTCTGATGTATTGATAGAAAATACACAGAAAGGAAACATGTAGCAAATCATGTGACATTTGCTTTAATAACTAATGGCACCAGCTCGTCAAATTTTATTATGGCAGAGCTGTGTCATTCAATCAGTTGACCACCTAAATTTAACCAAACACAGAAAAACACAGCAGGCAAAAAAGAAGTTATGTCAATAGTACAGGTGACTAAACCGGTTTCCGATGTGGTGTCTTCCCAGCCACTTTCTGAAGTCATACCCAAAGGTGGGCAACATCAAAATTTTTAGAAAATGCCTCAGCAGGGACTGCTTCTGTCATAAAAGGACTGAAAGCCAGTTAGAGCAGAGACTAGAATCTAGAAAAGGAGCCACCTTTCTATCACTTGAGTTCCCTGTAACTAGCTTTTAGTAGCAATCAGATTAAGAGAAAGAAGAACAGCACAGTGAACCGAGCCATCGCCGTACCTGTAACCGTCATCAGAAGCGCATTGATGGACTTATTATTTGGAGAACCTGTGAGGAGACACAGACACGCCACAGTGACTACAAAAGCAGTGACGTGGGCGTCCACAAAGAGGACACAAAGGCCTGAATCTTATGACCTCACAAATCCCTCCCAGAGCCACAAAGAGAGACGGTTCTTTCAAGGCCTTTTCCAACTTTTATTTGTAATGTCTGCCTCTTGCTGGTGCCCAAGTTAATGAGACTTTTAAAAGCTAGAGAAAAGCTCTCCCCACCACAACAGCACTGAGGACATACCCACGTCTACTAATCAGCATCTTCCTGCTTTTGAAACCTCACCCCTTTTATTGTTTTATTGGCTCTAATGCTGTCCCTCTGGAGCCACCCCTCAAACAAGCACACACACTCCCAGGCAAGCTTTTAAACAAATCGGCCAGGCAAGAGACGCCAGCTTCCTCCGACACAAATGAAACCACTGATGTCAGTGTTTCCCGGCACTCACGGGACTATACAAAGGTGACATATCATGCCTCAGCTGGTCACAGACTCTTTCCAGGGCTGGTCCCTTACTCTAGGAAAATGATTATTCCCAGAGATTAGGAAACAATGTAAGGAATACTCACGACTGTACCCAACAAGGGAGCCAATTGCAAGGATCAGGCTAAGGGCCAACACTGGTGCTCTCTTCTGTAGGATGTCAGAGATGAAGCCTTGCAAAGTCCCACCTTCAAACAAAAAGAGACACTAGTCACAACCATTTCAGCTGTGAGCTCGGCTGCCTGTACTCTCTAGAACTATCAGGTCCAGCCAAAATGGCACCAGCTCTCCCCAAAAGTCCACGCCACCATTTCCTTTTAGGAAGATAAACTGACTTAAATCAGCATGATGGTCGATGAGGACAGGACACCACAAATCCAACATCCAGATAAGAAAAATCATCAAAACGAGCCATGATTACTTACTATTTTCCCTACAAAAACAAATTGTGAGTGCTTTTCCTGATTTTTTCCCCAGCTTTTTAATTTAAAAGATGATCAAAGAAGGACCACACTTCACAAGCTACTAGCAGAGCCAATCAAAAATTCACTAAAATGAAATGCAGCAATTATGATTTAGTAGTAACAAACAGGTGAGGAGGCTCAGGAGGTGATGTGATTCCTTTGGGTAACACTGTCATATTCAAATAAAATGTCAGTTTGAGTTTTAGGGGATATAGAACACCTGGTACACCCCCATCATATGGCCAGCATCTAGGCAATTTTAATTTCAGAAGGCACAAAAGTATGGTCAGGTTTAACTGGCTGTGGTGGTTCAGGCCTGTAATCCCAATGATTGGGGACGCTGAGGCAGGAGGATCACAAGTTCAAGGCCACCCTGGGCAACTTAGTGAGATCCTGTCTCAAAATAAAATTTAAAAAGGGCTGGTGTTGTAGCTCTGTGGTAGAGAGCTTCTGGATTATGGAAGAAGATGCATTTTCATATACCTAAGGTTTCTGTTCTGTTTTTGTTTTGGGTACCAGGAATTGAATCCAGGAGCGCTTAAAACTGAGCCACATCCCCAGCCCTTTTTTTGATTTTTTGTTTAGAGAAAGAGTCTTGCTAAGTTGCTTAGGGCCTCGCTACATTGCTGAGGCTGACTTTGAACCTGTAATCCTCCTGCCTCAGCCTCCCAGGCTGCTGAGATTACAGGTGTGTGCCACCTCATCTGGTGATATTAAGTTTTTGCCATAGCCATGTATGTGTCACACCCACTGAACTTTTCTTATTTAAGAGTTTACTTCCTTGTTCAAGTTGGCTATAGCACAAAGTCACTGTTAAAATCCGTTGTACACAATGAAGCAATTGCAAAACACAAAAATTAATTTCTGCTGTTGTTCCTACCTCTAGGATCTGACAATGTACACACCATGGTATTATTTCTGCTTCCTAGGCTGGGGGGGTGGGTGGAGAAGGTGAGAGGCAGTGAAAATGAACACATTCACATCTAACTTGAATCTCTCACACAATTAGCTTCAGAGCCAAGATAGCACAGAAAGTATACAAAAGAATTGTGTTTAAAGAGATCTCAAGCACTTCCCAAGACAAAAGAAGTGACTCCTAAACAAAAAACTGAGAAAAGAGAGCCCTCTGAATCACAGCCTTGCCTTGGGTTGGATCTTCCTTCCTATGGATAATTTTTAAGAGTTTGTTCACTGTTAGGACAGTTTAGGAAAAATGGTTCCAGAATGAGTAATTAAACTTTAAATGGAGTCAGACTCCACAATCCAGTAAAAGGCTACTAGTAACTAACTATTATGGAAGAAGATGCACTTTCATATACCTATGATTCCTCCAACATCGTACCAGATGGACAACTGGTCAGCTTCAGCCTCCTTCCATCTGAAGTTGTTACTCAGATAAAAGGGCAACCAGAAGAAGAAGGAGTAATTCACCAGTTTCAGGCAGGCGTAGGCCAGTGAATACTACAAGAAAAACATACAACTATCAGCAAGGGACAAACAGCATGGCACAACATGACCACAGCTTTTAATGTAATTAAAAAACACAGCAAAATATAAGAGCTGGGGATGAATGGTACCTGACTTCAAAAATTAAACAACTTTACAAATTCCCATCTGCCCACTTATACCCAGTCTCCCTCTCTCCGTACTCCGGGTAGCTTCCAGAAAGGCCTTTGGAATAAAAAACAAAACCAAAAACATAGTATGCGGCTCTTTCTTAACTATCCCTGGCTTCTCCAAGTTCTCTGGTAGAAGCAAACCAGAGTTTGAAATCCAGAAGGCAGGGCACAGACCTCTATTTCTTATTCAGATAAAGGTGAATGATATTCTTGCCACTGACCAGTATTAGCCACAGGCAAATAAAAATAGCAACCATCACAGCTCTTACTTTCTTGGTTATTCTACTTTCAGCAAAGTTAATATTGTGAACCACAGAGAGCATGTGACTGAGCCAAAGATCTAAGAAAAGCATCCTCATTAGAACCACTTTCACATCAGAGCTTCCAAAAGCCCTGCATTTGCACACCCAGTGGCAGAGAAGAGCATCTCCGGTGGGTCGAAAGGAAGAACATGCTCGTCCTAGGCCCTGTCACTCTGTCTTGAGGGAAAGCAGTTGCGGCTGCCTTAAGATGGTGGTGGGGCTGAGACTCCTACATTCAACACATTATTACCAGGAAATCCTGTCAGTTAGCATCAAAGGAAAGGGGGGAGGAGCAGAGGGACTGACTTCAAAGGATGTCTGGCCAGTACACTCCTGGCCATGGGGCAGCCAGTTATTCCTTGGGTATCGCTTGTTTTAAAAAAGCTCCCCTGGCAGGACAGCAGCCACCCCTAGAGAGCCATGTCCCCGTCGCCAGAGCATGCTGTCCAGACAGCCTGCTAAAGACAAAGGCACCAAGTTAACTCGACCTCCCTCACACCCCGACCCACGACAGAGAACAATGGCTTGTGAGTGCAATGAAACAGCATCAGAGTTCAATGTGCAGTCACAACAAATTTAAAGTCTGTCTCAAAAATTAAACTATCACTAGTGGAATATTTTAGGATCTAGTTGAAAGATTATAGCTTGCCCTAAGAATAGGACTAAAGGAACTTGCATTTCCCTTATATTAAAAATCATCTTTGGCCAGGTGCGGTGGGCACGCCTATTATCCCAGCAGCTTGGGAGGCTAAGGCAGGAGGATCACAAGTTCAAAGCGAGTCTCAGCAAGTGAGGTGCTAAGAAACTCACTGAGACCCTGTCTCTAAATAAAATACACAATAGAGCTAAAGATGTGGCTCAAGGGTCGAGTGCCCCTGAGTTCAATCCCTGGTACCAAAAAAAAAAAAAATCTTTGAGTTTAAAAATTGCAAGAAATTACACTTACATTTTAACTCCCAATTACCTATTTGTTCTAAGTGTTTTCCTACCTTGGGGTCACAGGCAGAAGAGGACTATGAAGTCTAAAATAAGATGTCCTGTAGAACTAAATCTACCTGGGGGGGGTTACACTCATGAAGCACCATTAAAAAACAAAATGACAAAAAAACAGGTGCTTGTTCACAACACAATAACCCAGTGCCCTGGCCACCAGGGAAGACTGGGGTAATCTCTATCCCACTGGAGAGGGAACTAGACATGAGGATGGGTTGAGTGACTTATCCCAGGTCTCACAGAAAGGGAGTGGGTAAGCTGGAAACATCACCTATGCCTCAGTTTCCACTCCAGCCTCAGCATCTGCACTGCAAGACAGCACCGCTGCAGCAAGAGGGAGCCCGTCGGCCGTTAGGGAGCTCTCCTGACTGCTGGGCTGTGGCAGCGCTGGAACGCTGCCCAAGAGACACTGTGGCATATTCTGCTCTAGACCTTCTAAAAAGGGGCAATTTTTCCCCTGGAAAGATTAGAATGTAGGCAAACAAGGCAGTCAATGAGCCGTTCAAACCATTCTTGGTCTGTGTGTAAGTCTATATACCTCAATAAACCACAAAATACAAATTTAAAAATCTCAATTTTGAGCAGGGCGTGGTGGCACATGCCTGTAATCCCAGCAGCTCAGGAGGCTGAGACAGGAAGACAGCGAGTTCAAAGTCAGCCTCAGTAATGGTGAGGCGCTAAGCAACTCGGTAAGACCTGTCTCTAAATAAAATAAAAATAGGGATGGGGATGTGGCTCAGTGGTCAAGTACCCCTGAGTTCAATCCCTGGTACCAAAAAAAAAAAAATCTCAATTTTGCTTTCTTAATCCCATGCTAGATGATTGTCTGCAAGCAGGACTAGTAGGTCAAGTCTGGCAACGCCCATCCTGTCTATGGCCTCTTAACTCTGAAGGTCAGTGAAGATTTTATGGTTCCCTCAGAGCTGAAAATATTTACTCTCTGACTCTTCATGGAAAAGGTTTGCCAATCCTGCTTCAGATATAAGATAAGCTGAGGGACACTATGCAACATATCTCTGAACATGCATTCCTAAAACCAAGTTATCAAAGAGAAGCTAAACACTCAAAAAGCTTTATCCCAGGCAGAGTAAATCTCAAGGCCACAACGCCTTACTGGCTGTGGTAAGGGGATTTGAACAATTCTTACCGGTATGACACCAGGAAGACAGCAAGCCTGGTAGAAACTTATTGCCTTCACTTGGGCAACAGTTCTGGACTCTTGGATAGAGTAATTAGGCTCATATTCATCTTCGTTTTCAGTACCATTAATTAACGGTCTGTGGGAATCTTCTTCAAAGTTTTCTTCTGCTTCAATACCTGGGAGACCTAAAACAACAATAAAAACTACCATTTACAGAGCACCTACTGTATGCCTGGCATGGTGCAAAGGGTTTGCATATATCATCACTTATGGGATTGATATTTTTCTTATTTACTGGTGCTCAGGTGAGCACTATCACTGAACTACATCCTCAACCTTTTTTCTATTTTGAGACAGGGCCTCACTAAATTGCTAAACTCAGTGAACCTCAAACTTGTGATCCTCCTGCTTCAACCTCCTGAATTCCTGGGGTTATGAGTGTGCACCATTGCACCTAGCTGATGTTATTTCTATTGCCATTGTGTAGAAGAAACAACTGTGGCCAGGGGTGGTGGCACATGCCTGTAATCCCAGCTACTCTGAAGACTGAGGTAGGCGGATCAAAAGATTGAGGCCAGCCTGGGTGATTTCATAAGACATTTCTCAAAATAAAATAAAAAGGGCTGAGGATGTAGCTCAGTAGTTGAGTACTTGCCTAGCTTGTGAAAAGCCCTGGGTTTAATCCCCAAAACCACACTCAAAAAAAGTAAAGAAATACAATCATGCTAATTCCTAGTCAATATCTCAATGATAAAAATCATCTGGAGGCTGGGTATGTAGCTCAATGGCAGAGCGCTTGCCGAGGCATGAGTAAAACTCTGGGTTCCATCCCCAGAGCTACAAAAAAAAAAAAAAAAAAGTTTTTCAAATGCTAAGACTCATCTATAAAAGGTGTGTATCACTTCATTTGAACACACAGTTATGCCATGAATGGGACAATGCCAACAAGACACAAATGCCAACAGTACTCCTTTATTTTGCTGGAAGGAATTCACAGTTCTCCTAGGGAAAAAAAGAAATTCCATTTCTGGACTCATATTTCCCTTTGCCTCTTACAATAAGACATTTTGAATTAAAGATACAGCTTCTCCTCACCAATTTCTTCTGGTGACACCAGGAGTCCAAAGAAGATGACGATCCCACCAGCAAACTGCACAGACGCTGTCACCAGAAAGGCATACTGAACGAGAGGGAAGAGGTGGTTCTTACAGGGCAGTCATCACCAAGTCCTTAAAGATGAGTGCAGGGTAAAGAGGAGTAGGGCAGGAAGGAGGGGGAGACTAGGGAGGACTTCAGCACCAGGCGATCTGCCAAGTGTTCCACTTGTGACTTCTTCTTTCATCTTCCCAAGGACTCTACAAAGCTCACATAGGATCAACAGGGCTCCTTAGATACTCAGTCGCCCTACTGGATTATAAAAGCAAGACTAGCTCTCAAAATTTTTGCATCACCCAGTCTCCCATAAAAGGCACGGTATCTGCTCTCAAAGACATTACATCCAGGTGTGGGAATTAAACAACACTTACGATAAGACAATACAATACTATAAGGTAGCATGCAGCTAAATAAATGAGAAGTCCAGCCCCAGCAAGAAACACAGGGATGGGGGCAGTGGCACATGCTTATGGTCCCAGCAATGGAGACTGTCACTGGAAGATCTTAAGTTTGAGGCCAGCCTGGGCAACTTATCAAAACCCTGTCTCAAAATAAAATAAAATAGAAGAAAGGACTGAGGATGTAACTCAGTGGTAGAGCACCCTGGCATTCAATTCCTAGTACTTGAAAAGGAAGAAAGGAAGACAGACAGACAGGAATTCAAATGGAGAAAGCAGCTAAAAAGAGGTTGAAGCAGCTGGACGACAATTTAGGAAAGAGTGGAAAGTCAAAGCAATGAATGTCCTATCTTTCCAGGCAAAGGAGAGCAAAGGTACAGGGTGGGAACAAGGTGGAAAGTCACTGCATGACCAAAGGCAAGGGCTTCTGTGAGGGGATAACAGGGAATAAAACTGACTTGGAAAGGTGACACCAAATTAAAGTAACTGCCAAGCTCCGGGTGTAGCTCAGCAGTAAGCATGTGTCTAGCAGAAAGGAGAGGCCCTGGGTTCCATCCCCAGGACCACAAAAAAATTAAGAAAGAATGAGTAAAGAAGGTTGGGGATATAGCTCAGTTGGTAGAGTGCTTGCCTTGCACGCACGAGGCCCGGGTTCAATCCCCAGCACCACACACAAAAAAAGAATATGTAAAGTCAACAGCCAGGCTGCATTTATTTAAGAGATTGAAGCCTGATAGACAGATAATCTGAATTTTTCAACAAGTGAGTTACAAAATAAAAGCAATGTTTCCAGAAGTCAAGCCTGGGAACACCACAGGGGGTAAAGTGAAATTTCCATCTGAACCAATCAGTACAATCCAGGAGCAAAGCTAAGCAGACTAGAATAAAGATGCCTGTTTAGACGATGGGCTTCTAACTAGACCAGAATTCCTGGTGAGTTGCCTTTAAAAATTTATCCACTTGCTGAGTACTGTGGTGCACAATTGTAATCCCAGCAACCTGGGAGGCTGAGGCAGGAGGATCACAAATAATAGCTTTAGCAATTTAGTGAGATCCTTTCTCAAAATAAAAATTTAAAAAATGCTGGGGATGTAGCTCAGTAGGAGAGTGCCCCCAAGTTTAATCTCTAGTACTGCCAAAAAAAAGTCCACTTTTTAAAAAGGCAACTTAATTTTAATTATTTTGGTTTTTGAGTAGGAAATATACTCATATGATTCAAGCCAGAAAAAATAATAGTAAAAATTCCTCTTTCCTACACCTTGCAATCCATTCATTCTTTCAATTGCCCCAACACTGTTGTCATTCAATTTTTTTTTTAATTTTTACTGTCCAGAGACTGTTTCAGAAACCCACAAGCTGATACATATATACTCATTAATTCTTCCTTGGTTTTTTTTTTTTTTTTTTTGGGGGGGGTTGTTTTTTCATTTTCTTATTTATTTATTTATTTATTTATGCATGCATGCATGCATGCAGTGCTGGGGATTGAACCCAGGGCCTTGTGCATGCAAGGCAAGCTCTCTACCAACTGAGCTATATCCCAAATCCCTTCCTTGTTTTTTTAACAAATGGCATCATGTATGCTGCTTTGTGCCTTGCTACCTGAGACCTTTCCAGTGCCTGATCTCTAACAGCAGTTTCCTGACCTACAACTTCATAGCTGCCAAGTCTTCCTTTGAACAGGTTTATCAGAATTTAACTATTTCTCTATTGGCTGACTTTGTTTTCAATCTTTGGCTACTACAAAAAATGCCAAAATAGCTTTGTATATACATCTTTTTTTACACGTCTAACAACATTCACCTGAGCAATTAATTCCTGTGGTGCACTGCAAGTTGCCACTTTGACAGACACTGCCATCTCGACCCCCTCAAGGGGTTCTGTACTCTCCAGTCACAATGCCCATCTATTCATGGCCTCGGGAACACAACTCATCAATTTTGGGGGCTACACTAATAAGCATACAGTGTAACTTTTCTTTCTCTCCCTCCATTTTTATTGGTGTAGTTGTAATTTACATTTCTCCACTAACCCCTAAGCTCCACAAGGATGGAGATTTTTGTCCCTTTTGGTCAATACTATATTCTTCAGTGTCTTACAGCAAAGCAAGGAACTTAAATATTTACTAAATGAATGTATAAGCTATGAGAGAAGTTGAATATTTTTTCATACATTTTTAAGCTGTTTCTACTTCCTTTCCATAATCTATCTATTCAAATCCTTTATCTTTCTTTCTATATCATTTTGGTATTTTCCTTAAAATTTGTGAGTGTTCTTTATATAAGAGAGAATAGTAACATAGGTTATAAAGATCTATTTTTATGTGTCAAAGAGATTAGCCCTTTATCATATCATAGATTTCAAATACTTTTTCTCAATTAGTGCTAGTCTTCAGACTCTTTTTACGGTTCATCTGCCGTGAATAATTTGTTTTCAGGGGGAAGGGCAGGTTACTGGGGATTTAACCAAGGGGTACTTTATCACTGAGCTGCATCCCCAGCCCTTTTTATTTTGAGACAGGGACTTGCTAAGTTGCTTAGGGCCTCACTAAGTTACTGACCCTGGCCTTGAACTTGAGGTCCTCCTGTCTCAGCCTCCTGAGCCACTGGGATTCTAGGCATAAGCCATCATGCCCAGCAAATTTTGTGTTTTAATTCATTGGAAGCTTTTCCAATTTTAACAAAAGCCATGCCCTACCCAGACACAGCTCTACATAGTCTTGAATATGCACAGTACTACTTAGGGGAAAAAAGCATATGTTTACACACATACACACACACAGAAACAAATCTGAAAAAATACCCACCTCATAACCATACTGTAGAACAGATGAAGCTAGACATGCTCCCAAAATATTGCCCACAGAAGCACAGGCACTCCAGAGACCAAAGACAACTCCTCGCCTGGGAAGGAGAACAGAAAAAAAGAGTAGACAATAAGGTCATAAGGGACTCAATATGCAGTTCAGAATAAAAATCACCATAACATGAAAAATTCACTTTATAAACTAAGCATTGAATTTTAAAACGCTTTAAATACACCAAATGACAAAACATCAGGTCTCTTCTAAGATTTTATGATATTAAAGTTCAATTTGGGGCTCATCCAAAGACACTTAAAAGAATTAAAAAAGAAAAACTGCAAATTGGGAGTATATCTATGTATCACTTATCTGATAAAAGACTTTTACATAGACCATAAAAAAACTCTCAAAACTCAATGAAAACAAACAATGCACTAGAATTTTAAAGAACATGAACCTATAATCATCTCAAAATAAAGTTTAAAAAAATAGGGCAAAAGACCTTTATAAGAAAAGAAATAGATAGATGATGCAAATAAGTATGACAAGATGTTCAACATCATTAGACATAAGGGAAATGCAAGTTAAAATCATCAGATATCACTGTCATACCTCTAAGAATGGCTAAAATCAAGAAACAAGCAACCAAATGCTGGCAAGAAGGTAAAATAGGAACTCTTTCACTCTGCTGGTGGGAATGCAAAATGGTACCACTATGGAAGAGATTTCAAGTTTCTTAAAAGGATAAAACCCATCTACCTCATAAATTGGCCATTCTACTTCTTGGTAATTACTCAAGAAAAATGAAGGCATATGTCCACACAAAGATTTGTACACAAATGTTCACTGTAGCTGCATCTGTAGTACCAAAGCCTGAAAACAACTCAAATGTCCATCAACAGCTAAAGAGAAAAACATACGTGGTATGATGTACTACTACCCAGCTATGAAAAAGAATGAACTACTGATACTTACAACAGGAATTTCTAATTGTGCTGAATTAAAGCAGATCAAAAAAGAGCACATACTGAATGATTCCATTTATATAAAATTTTGGAAATTAAAATTAAAAAGATAGAAAGCAGATCAATGGTTGCCTAGAGACGACAGCAAAAGGATGAGCACACGAGCGGTAGGAAGGAGGAATTCTCAAGGGGCATTTCTTCATGATGATGATGACTTACAGGCGCACACAGGCCAAAGCTCTTCAAAATGTACATTTTACACATGGACAGCTTGTTGTGACCTCAATAGGGTCAAGAGAAAAAAATAAGAGATGGACCAGGTGGTGGAGTAGAAATTAGCAATTATGACAATTCCGGAGAGAAATGACCAGCTCTGGACATAGACAACAGCAGTAGGGCAGGTGAAAGAAAAAGAATTTATTTATTTTTTTTTTTAAATATTTATTTATTTATTTTTAGTTTTTGGCAGACACAACATCTTTGTTTGTATGTGGTGCTGAGGATCGAACCATGGCCGCATGCATGCCAGGCAAGCGCGCTACCGCTTGAGCCACATCCCCAGCCCAAGAAAAAGGATTTAAGACGTTAATTTTTTTAACATTCAAATTTGTACTTTATTCTATTTCATATTTTTCGAACCTCCCCAAGGCAGAGGGAATTTCACAAACAAATGAGATGACGGACACTGTATAGTGAGAAACAAAGTGTGAAAATTTGAGCTCCACCACTTCCAGCTGTGTAATCACCCAGGCCACCACTTGTGCTCTCGTTTGTAAGAAGCTGTGCTCCTCATAGGACTGGGTGCAGTAAGACACAATCCACAATCCTGGTGAAAGAGCTGGACAGGAGCATTATTATTGTCTAAAATTGTTTGAAAAAACCACATTCCCTAATGATCCAGAGCAACAACAGGATTCAGCCAAAGTAACAGCTACTATTAGGACCAATGTCCTCCCTCAGCAGATCACTCAATTTCTCTGGGCCACCAACTTTTTTCATCTGGAAAACAAATGATTTGACCTGAACAATCTCTCAATTCATCTCCAGTTCTAAAATACCCCAGTTCTATAAAACTATTAAAGGCCATCAAGAGAGTCGTGGAGGGAAAGTCAGAAAGTCAGGATCCAAATAACACTGGCTGACCAAAAACACGGTGTAGAAGAGTCTGGCTGACAATAACTCTGTTTTAAGCTGCCCAGTCTTTGAGGGCTTTGTGGGTTACTGTGACAGTTCACAGGAAGTCAGAGTCTAAGTAAGGCGCTACTGATTCCACTCCCAGCACAACCTGTTAAAAAAAACGGGCTCCTCTCAAAGTTGAACTGCAACAACTCTCTTCGCCTTTTCTGTGACTGATTCACAAAATAATGAAGCGGTCAGTTTGTACAGTCACTGGTATCAAACACTCTGTCAGCCGATTTATAAAAGCTTAGAATTCTCTCAAAATGACACTAGTTAAAACTAGTATCTTTCAAGTGACAGTATGTCAGTTGGTCTATCTTTGTTCTTTCTATCTTCTGATTAATAATAAAAAGTAACATTTTATAATTTCTAAAAATCACAAATTAAAAACAAATTACCTTAAAATCTTAATAGAAAAAAAAAAAATCAGCCCACTAACTGGAGAGGCTGAGGCAAGAGGATCACAAATTCAAGGCCAGACTGGACAGCTCAGCAAGACTCTGTCTCAAAATGAACAACATAAAAGCTGGGATGTAGCTCAGTCACAGAGCGCCCTTGGGTCCACTCCCCAGCACTCCCCCACCCCGCCCTGCCCCTCCAAAGACTAAGTAGGCCCTCTCATCTACTCCAAGAGAAAACTGTAATACCCTGGGCCACGCCTTTTACATTGGGACTGTGTTAAACCAGTGACGCCAGAGTTAGAACAGAAATCACTAGCACCCGGAAACACCATCAGAACGTTCTTAAATGGTATTTATTCTAACCACAAGACGTTTTATAGATGAACTTTCAAAACATTATAGATCATAAGTGACCAAGTTAACTCCCATTATAAAATAGGGAAAGCTGGGAAACTGAGAGGAGCCACTCAGAGCATGTACTCAACACCAGCAGGCTATAATGTCTGTCGCACACACTGTTCCTCGTGTAAACTAGCCACACACAAGAAAAGACAGAGCCATACACGAGTAAATAAGCATCTGACAACACATGATAAACAGCAATGTTCCAGAAGGGCAACGATCCATAATAAATCAAGTCTCTGCTTATCCCAGCTTATTTCCCACCCTATGACTATGGCATGGCTCTTCTTCCTGGGTGGCCCAGAGGATGCATTAGGAGGTACCTATCTTCATCCTGTGGTCCATATCACACACACAAAGTCAAATGTAATCTCACAACTATGTGAAGGGTTAAGGGAAAAGTGTCCAATCTAAACCCCAAAGTTTGGCATTCTCCGTTTGAATCTTGTTACTGTCCCTGCTATGTGACTTTAGGCAAGTCACATGGATAAATTTTAGCCTCAGTTTCCTTCTCTTTATATAAGAAAGTTAAACTTTCTCAAAAAAGGACAGAGAAGGCAAAACTCAAAAGAAGATAAGAGATGGGACGTCATGTGAGACAAGGTTTTCTAAAGGAAGATGAGTTTAAAAAAAAAAAAAAAGGCAGACACAGTGGTACACATCTGTATTCCCAGTGACTCAGGAGGCTGAGGAAAGAGGATCTTAAGTTCAAGGCCAGTTTCAATAAGTTAGGGAGACCCTGTCTCAAAATAAAAGAAAGCTAGGGATGTGGCTCATTGGTGCCCTGGAGTTCAATCCCCTGTACCGGGGGGAAAAGACAAAACCGAGATATACTCCTTTAGCTCACACTCAAAACTGAAGATGGCCAGCAGTGTTAGCAACGTGTCCTGCTGGCGAAGACCATCTCTGAGGTCCACACCATCTTCCATACACTTCAACATGAACTGAAATAGAAGGAAGATGTGAACAGTGGGCTCTAGTTTGGATCTGGAATGCCCCTCAAGGGCTCGTGTGTGGGAAGCTTGGTCCCCAGCTGGTGGTACTACGGAAGGTGGTGGAAACCTCAGGAGGCGTAGGTCACTGGAGGCGTGTTCTTGAAGGGTGTATCTTGTCCCAGCACCCACCACCACCTTCCCAGCCATCATGAGGTGAACAGCTTCGCTCTACACAGAATGTTCTGCCCACACCCCCGAGTCCCAGCAATAATGGAAGCAGGTGACCATAGACTGAAACATCTGAAACCAGGAGCCATAATACACTTCCCTTCTCTGAGTTATTTTCCGGGTTTTGGGTCATGGTGACAGAAAGGTGACTAACAGTGTCTAAGGCATCAAGTTAATAGACTCTGATGAGACTGAATAATCCAACATTAAAACCATTTGAGTAATGGGAGAGAAAGGAAGAGTCATACCCATTTTTCCCAAACCAGTTGCCCATCACAGCGACCACACAGGGCCAGCCAGTGGACTGCAGCAGGCCATTCACAATCCACAGGCAACAATAGAGCCATCTGTTGTAGAAGTGCAGCCATTCTGTGAGAGTGCCAAAGACAAACACCTTTGAAAGAAAAAAAAAGGAACATGTGACGTCCACGTGGACACTGTGAGTATGCCCAACTGCCACCAGACTACACCAAGAATACATTTAAACAACTCACACCCGAAAGCAGTGTGGCGAACAGGGTGGCTCAGAGCTGGCACCAAGAAAGTAACCATGGGATCACCAGAAAGGCAAAGGCGTCAAATGACATGAATCAGTATCATCTTTCTAACTGGCATCTTCCTCTCTTAAAAGTGAAGGCCTCCTTTTTCACCTCATTTTACATCTCCCCACTGCTGCCTTAGGCCTGTGTGGTGGAGGGAGGGCCGTCTCCCAAGGGCTGCAGAACTGAGCAAGCCCTGCGTGTATGTGTGTAGTTAAAGTCTGGGTAAAGTCCCGGGCAAGTCTAGCTGTCGGGACTGCAGCTACCCAGCTCACCTGCGTATGAGAAACCTGTCTGACTTGTCATCTGCTGAGTCATCTAGTAGGTTCCATTGAGTGGCTGCTTTTTTCCAGGCATCTGGCTCAAGGGGATATTTTATTTGCAGTCAAAATCTATTTTGAGAATACTTGGCATGGGTTACAAAATAGTATGCAGAATACTATCAAGTTCCAGTTATGAGACATTCTGGAATAAGCAGAACTATAAGGACTGAAAAACAGTCTGCAGTTGCCAGGAGCTGGGGAGAGCATGGGGTAGTTTATGCTACCCTACTTGTGGGCACTCAGAACTATATGCTAAAATGGTGAGTTTATGTATGAAACGAAATTTCAAAAAGTACTTTTAGAAGCATATGTACAGGTTTAAAAATATGTACAGGTTTAAAAGTATGTACAGGTTTAAGCCGGGCACAGTGACACATACCTATAGTCCCAGCAGCTCAGGAGGCTGAGGCAGGAGGATCATGAGTTCAAAACCAGCCTCAGCAATGATGAGGTGCTAAGCAACTCAGTGAGACTCTGTCTCTAAATAAAATACAAAATAGGAGGCTCATGGTAGAGCGCTTGTTGTGGCTCAGTGGTAGAGTGCTTGCCTAGCATGTGTGAGGCGCTGGGTTTGATCTTCAGCACCATATAAAAATAAATAAATAAAATAAAGGTATTGTGTCCACCTACAACTAAAAAAAAAAAAAATAGGGCTGAGGATGTGGCTCAGTGGTCGAGTGCCCCTGAGTTCAATCCCCAGTACCAAAAAATATATATACAGGTTTAAGTATGTGTGGGAGAGCAACTTTTGAATAGATAAATAAGTTCCTAAAATTTCAAGGAAACAAGTTTTTTCCTGGACTCAAATGGTAGACATTGAAAACAAAAATAAATTAGGGTCTAACTAAACTCTGTGGTTTCAATCAACCCATGAACTCCTTAACAGATGCTAGTAAGCAATAAAGATGGATCTGATCTGGACACTGCCTTTCACGGCACCTAACGTGCCAGGCACCGTTCCAAAGGCTGTGCACTCACACCCACCTCAGTGTAACCCAGGAGCGGGGACACGCACATCCCTTTCCAAATGAAGAAACTGAAGCCTCTTTTCAAATGAAGAGAGCATGAGCTAGGAAACTGCAGAAAGGGTGGAAACCAAGGCCATCCTGACCTATGAAATCTGTGGTCTTCACCCTTGTGCCACCCACTCTCAGGGTAAGCAAGACCCAAACAGAAATAACCAGGCTAAGCAGCAGAAGATTACAAGTGTCTGCAAAGAAACACAGGCACAGAAGCTTAGAGGAGAGATGAATGTTACTTTCAGGAGTGGAGCCCATCAAGTCAGAAGGGTCATGTGGCCAAGGACTTGAAGGAGATGCTGGGGCAGACCACAGAGAGCTGAAGAGTGCCACGCAAGGAGGGAAGAAGAACAGGGACAAAAGCACCAAGGTAGAAAAAAGCAGGACAGGTCCAGGGCTCGGAAAGTAGCTTGGTGTGGTTACAGCAAAAGGTGAAGCAGAGTGACAATAGGATTGGACCGGAGCTGGGACCAATCAACTAACACATGCTGTTGCGAAACTTCTAATGAGGGTCAAGGAAGGACCTCCTCAGAATCCCACGTTAAAAAGATCTACCTAAGAGACAGGCATGCAAGGGATCAGGACACTGAAGAATGAACTCACTGTTCTACTCTACCTCGAGAAGTAGGGTGTCACTTGGAGTCTAAAATGTCTGACCAAAATAAAATTATTATTACTATAATTATAAAATCTTTCCAGCTTACCACTAATGCAGAAGAGCACATGCCAAAAGAGAGAACCCATCGTAAATTCAGCCGATCCCCAACGATGCCACTGATGAAAAGACCCTAAAAACAAAGCATTTCATTTTATAGTCCTAAATAGTAACACAGTCTAAAAGAGGTAACATGCATTGCAAGGCAAAAGAGGCAAACGAAACTCTGGGGGATTTAAATCAAACCTAATTCACATGCCTAGACTAGCTGGCTTTGGGCATCACAATGTTTCAGGAAACAACACTACACTGCAGATCTTAGACACCACAACCCCGTTATTCAGGGAGACCGTGTTTTTCTTGATTCCCTAAAAGACACAAACGAGTGAGAATTCTGACAAAACAAGCACTCCAGTAATTTCGCCTTCTAGAGATATTAATCCTTCAACACCACTCAGAAGCTTTCCCACAGTTTCCCTTAGCATTTACTCTCCGACATGTCCCCACACACCCTGCAGTTTTGGCCACATCCTCCCAAGAAAGGGGACAGAAGCCTGCAGGGCTCACTGGCTTCCTGTTTAATCTGCCCCTGGGCTTCACAGCATCACAAGGCAGGGAGGGGAGGGAGGCAGATGTGACAATTCGGTGAAGAGAGGTATGATCTCCTCCCACTGTGTGGGAGAATTAAAATGCTGAGATAAGGCCAAGAAAAGAGACTGAAGACCAGGGCTACACATATTAGGTTTCCTCCATAAATACATACAAATAAATTTCTTGACCTCATTATCATCCAAATTAAACATTTCTAATAAGGTGACTATCTAAATAAGAGAAAATTTAGATGACAAACATCATAATAAATGCTTTTCCCCTTAATATAGCCAGGTCTTCGCTTCCTCAAAAGAGGGCACACGACCACTAAAGCAGATGTGATGATCTGCAGTGGCCTCTTAAGCAATCTGTACTATATGTGACAGAGGGGATGAGGAAAATCTCTCAATTCTCTTTCAGATAAGAGAATCAATTTTCTCTGTGTTGTTCCAGAAAGCAAAATGCCTGGAAGTTACAGAAGGAAATGAAGCTCAAAAGAAAACCAGGCAGTCAGGTGTGATGGCATGTGCCCATAATCCCAGCAACTCCAGAGGCTGAGACAGGAGGATCAAAAAGTTTAAGGCCAGCCTCGGCAACTTAGTGAGACTGTCTCAAACTAAAATATTAAAAAGGCTGGGGATGTAGCTCAGTGTTAGGGCACCCCTACATTTAATCCTTAGTACCAAAAAAGAAAACTGATCATTAAGACTTGGAGTATGGCCAGGCATAGTGGCACACACCTGTAATCCCAACAACTCAGGAAGCTGAAGCAGGATTATTACAAATTCAAGACCAGACTCAGCAGCTTAGCAAGGCCCTAAGCAACTTAGTGAGACCCTGTAAAATAAAAAGGGCTAAACTTGGGCTGGGAATATAGCTCAGCTGGTAGAGTGCTCATCTCACATGTACAAGGCCATGGGTTCAATCCCCAGCAACACAAAAAAATAAATAAATACAAGTCTGAGCTTGTGGCTCAGTGGTTAAGTGCACCCAGGTTCAACCCCTGGCGCAGAAAAAAAGAGCTGGAGTATGGCTCAGTGGAGACAGTAGTAGAGGTCTGCCTTGCATGCATAAGGCACTGGATTGGATCCCCAGCATCACAAAAATCCTACAGAATTCTAAAACTTACCACAGCGTAGGAGAACAGAAAAATAGTATCCAGCGTTCCAAGGAAAAGAGTAGCCTCCTCTGTATTAGGAAACAAATGGTTGCTGCTCCAGATCTACAGGAACACAAGAACAAATCACATCCCGCCAGGATCTGCTGGTGCTCATAGCTCTCAACACCCTATAACCAACCTACACCTATCCCAACCCCATCCCCATCCCCACTGAAACCAGCAGTTACCTATGGATAAGAAAATATATGCAAAAAGGGTAAGTTTAAGTTTTTTGCTGTGCTTTTATTTTTCCTATACTGCACATATTAATTTTTAAAAAATAAAAACTATTTAAAAAAAAAAAAAAGTAAATAAGTAAGTACCCACAGAAAAGTCAATGCATGTTTCAGGACCAGGACTGCTAAAGACCAGGTCTTACTTCAAAATGCATTTAGAAAGGTTTTTTTTTATCTACTTATTTTATACACTCAAATGCTAACAACTAAACCTATTAAGAAAGCTGGGCACTAAGTATAAAAACAGACATTTAGCTGGGTGCCACAGCACTCTCCTGCAACCCCATCTACTCAGGATATTGAGGACCTCAAGTCTGAGGTCAGCCTGGGCAACTCAGCAAGACCCTGTCTCAAAATACAAAACAAAAAGCCCAGGGATGTAGTTCAGTACTAGAGCATCCCTGGATTCAATCCCCAGTACTGGGGGAAAAATTTTTTTTAAAAAGTAAAATTCTGATTATCTTTTTATTTGTCAAAATTAATTATACAGCCAGGCTTACGCTGAGACAAGAAGATACTCAAAGCCAACCTCATCAATTTAGCGAGGCCTTAGGCAATTCAGTGAGACCCTGTCTCTAAACAAAATACAAAAAAGGGTTAGGGTTGTGGCTCAGGGGGTAAGTGCCCCCTGGGTTCAATCCCCAGTACCAAAGCAAAAAAAAAAAAACTATCTAATATATTAGAAATTATACATCCAATATATTATATATCTAAAATATTAGAAATTAGGTGAGTGCTGTATCACTGAGCCCTAGCCCCAGCCCCTATACTTTTTTACCTATTACACATAAAGTGTAAAGAAAGGAATGGGAAGTGCACATAGCTTCTCATGAGGTAAGGTGAACAGGCTTGGTCAGAACTTCACATTTCTACATCCAACCAAGCCATACTGCATTCCCTGCAATTCTGAAAATCAGGATGGTAATATCTATTTTTTTTTTAAAGAGTGAGAGAGAGGGAGAGAGAGAGTTTTTTAATATTTATTTTTTAGTATTTGGCAGACACAACATCTTTGTCTGTATGTGGTGCTGAGGATTGAACCCGGGCCGCACGCATGCCAGGCGAGCGCGCTACTGCTTGAGCCATATCCCCAGCCCCAAGGTAATATCTATTTTAACAGTAATCAAAAGTAAATAAATTCCCAGCAACTCAGGAGGTTGAGGCAGGAGGATCGTGAGTTCAAAGCCAGCCTTAGCAAAATCAAGGCACAAAGCAACTCAGTGAGACAGTGTCTCTAAATAAAATACAAAAAAAATAGGGCTGGGGATGTGGCTCAGTGGTCAAGTGCCCCTGAGTTCAATCCCCAGTACCAAAACCAAAAACAGTAAATAATTGGGCTGGGGTTGTGGCTCAGTGGTAGAGCACTTGCCTAGCATGTGCAAGGCACTGAGTTCGATCCTCAGCACCACATAAAAATAAATAAAAATAAAGGTATCATGTCCATCTACAACTGAAAAAAAAAAAGTAAATAATTAAGTCACCAAGAAAGGATTACAATTTTTTAAACAGATTGAATTGGTATAGTGTATTCTTGATTATCAAAAATACTCATATAGCTTTGGTGAATATTCATGATGTGTGGAAAAGCATGATACATACTATGATCTCAGACACACAAAATGGGTTGTTGTGTATGTATGTACACACACGACCTGGAGGAACACATCCTACTAAGCTGCTTGGGAACTGTATGACTTTGTTTTTTGCTGTGCTTTTATTTTTTCTATACTGCACATATTAATTTTTAAAAAATAAAAACTATTAAAAAAAAAAAGTAAATAAGTAAGTACCCACATAAAAGTCAATGCATGTATCAGAAGAGTTAATATGTGAACTGGTTACTGAGGAAAAGAGTAAGACAGCAGGCCTGAGATCTCTCTCCTTACACAGGCAGGCTCACAAGGCTGGCTCCGGGCTGGCATCTGGGAACTTAGATCCATGAAGGGTTCCCACCACCCCGATACAAGTGGCTCACTGTTTATACCCAACAACATGATTTATGAGAACCGTGCTTTCCTTTTGGGAGCCTGGAATTTTGATATGTGTCAGACGGCGTGCCTACGTGACCAGCCCCAATAAAAACCCTGGGCACAAGCCTGTAATGAGCTTCCCAAGTAGACAACACTTCACATGTGTTGTCACAGCTGGGTGCTAGAAAAATTAAGCACATCCTGGGAAAGGAACCCTGGAAGCTTGTGCCTGGCTCCCTGCAGACTTCACACCACGGCCTTTTCCATTTGCCGATTTTGTGTCCTTTCAGTGTAATAAATCACAGCCGTGAGCACTTCATGCTGACTCCTGTGAGTCCTCCCTCAGAGCCATTAAACCTGGGAGTGGTCTTGGGAGCCCCAACCCAATTAGGAAGAAACCCAAGGCAACCTTAGGCGGTAAAACCAGAGTTTAACATCTAAATCAAATCCCATTTTTCTGTATATCGGTCAGACTGCACCTGCAGTGCCACACCGAGTGCTCAGTGTCACTAAACTGTGGTTGAAGGAGACAGAGATGTTTTGCTTAAACAAGAGAAACTTCAGGATTTAGTGAGAGTTGTCTTCAAACAGCTGAATAAAAACTAACTGTCCATCTCAGAAAGCAGAAAATTTCTTCTCCCCAGCGGTATTAAAGCAGAAACTGGGCGGCTATCCTTCAACAATGACAAAATAACAATGTCCCCATGAGAGGGTCCATGACCTCTCCTAAGGCCACTTTCACCTTTGAAATTTGTGATTCTAAACAAATACAACTGACAAGTCAGTTTAGTCATTTAGACTCAGGTTGCAATCTAACCCTCTGGTCTCAACTCATTTCCTTAAAAAGTGACTGATAACTTAAATCCAGAAGAACAGCATGGAAGCACCTCCCCTAGCATAAAGACTTCATGAGATCAGCGTCTCCTTTCCAATCTTCTAGGCTTTTTTTTTTTTTTTTAATAGTTTTAGTTGCAGATGGACACAATACCTTTGTTTATTTTTATGTGGTGCTGAGGATCAAACACATGCTAGGCAAGTGCTCTACCACTGAGCTACAACTGCAGCTCAACCTTCTAGGATTTTATGTTTTTTTATACCTCACTGCCTAGGACAGTGTTTACATAAGAGTGTCACTCAATAAGCAATTGACTGAGTAGCATATTTACATTTTGGAAGATATTCCTGTCACCCTCAAACCTCTGTCAACTTTGAATGTGTCCCAATAGGGGAAATAATTTCTAAATATAAAACATGCTAACAACATTAATAGGACATCTATAATTCCACAGAAATAAAAGTCAAGAAATGTGATAAACATTGGGTGGATCTATGTATTGAGAAAGGGCACTGTAAAGGACAGCATATGAGTCTCCAACAGGCATCAGAGGATTTTCCCAGTCCAGAACAAATATAAAGAACTGGGATACACACTCCTAACTTCAAGATACAAACACATCAAAGAACTGGGAAATACTTAAATACTAAACTATATAATAGCATACAGGACTTCAGAGAAGGGAAAAATAAGAAGCTAGAAAAAAAAAGTGGGGGGGGAAATGGCATTTTTATCTTACTACAAAAAGAAAGAGCCAGGCAATGGCACACGCCTATAATCCCAGCACCTTGGGAGGCTGAGGCAGGAGGTCTGCGAGTTCAAAGCCAGCCTCAGCATTTTACCAAAGCGCTAAGCAACTCGGTGAGACCCTGTCTCTAAATAGAATACCAAATAGGGCTGGGGTGTGGCTCAGTGGTTGAGTGCCTCTGAGTTCAATGGAAGGAAGGAAGGAAGGAAGGAAGGAAGGAAAGAAGGAAGGGAGGGAGGGAGGGAGGAAAGAAAGAAAGACAAAATCTAAATAGGTGGAAAAGGTGAAAGTGTATATATAAAAGATAATATGTAAAATCTCAAAAGTAGAAACATACACAGTACTTGTAAAACTCAATGAAAAAACAGCCTTCCCAGAATCATATGATAAGGGTTGGCTTGGTAAAACAGACCAATCAGAGCAGGCTTTGAAATCAGCAGACAGTTTGGATTGGACTCCCTGGGACAGGATAAGCTGTTTCAGGTAAACAATGCAAGAGAGAACTTAAGAAGACTTAAGTTCTGTCCCTTCTCTAAGTCCCTCCCAGCACTGGCTCCACTTACCTCTACAGGCAGCTCAAGTGTTGTGTTAAAAGCATTTGGGGTCCACTGCTTGGAGATACTAACTTTGACATTGCTAAATGTTTTTCTTGAAGCATGGAGCAACGAATAACTACAAAATAGAGAAAAACTACAGATGAATCAGTAGCAAAGAAAACAAAAGTCAATAAAATCACAGATATATGCCCATTTGTCTCTACTCAATTTTAGAATTCTTCTCTCAAAAGAAAAAAAAATAAGTACTGTTTTATAGGAACTTGAATTGATGCAATAAAAATAACTAGTCATCTTCATTATGAGTCCCTGCTCATGCATATCAGATACTGCAAACTAGAAGATGGATATGTATCTGATCCCAAACCACTTTAAGTCATGAATGGAATTCTGTAAAGAATTTTACACCTTCAGGGCAGGGTGGCTCAATGGTAGAGTGCTTGCCTGGCAGCAGCTCCAAGCCCTGGGTTTGATCCCCAGCATCACAAAAAAAATATATATATATTAATCTTTAGCACACAAAGGGCACTCACTGCATCAGCAATTCAGTTTTTTCCTTGGATCCATGTCTTTTCCTCAGATTGATGCCTCATACCCCTCACAAATAGCCCCCAAACCAAGCATCCAAATGACCTATTTACTTTCACATAATTGGAAGACCACTTTCTTAGTTTCTGCCTTTAAAGAAACGGCTGAAGATATAGTTCAGGGTGGAGTGCTTGCATGGCATGTGTGAGGACCTGAATTTAAACTGAAAAAAGGAAAGGAGAAGAGAGGAGAAGGGAGGGGAGGGAAGAAAGAAAGAAAGGAAGAAAGGGCCAGGTGCAGTGGCCCATGCCTGTAAACCCAGTGGCCAGTGGCCGGGAGGCTGAGGCAGGAGGATTGCAGAATTCAAAGCCAGCCTCAGCAAAAGCAAGGCCTTAAGAAACTCAGTGAGACCCTGTCTCTAAATAAAATACAAAATAGGGCCAGGATGTGGCTCAGTGGATGAGTGCCCCTCAGCTAAATCCCTAGTACCCCCCCTCAAAAAAAAGAAAGGCAGGAGGAAAATAAATGATCATTTGTGATACATTCAATAAAGATTAATAACAAATCCGTGCAGAAGAAATATCACAACAGTTCAGTAATAGAGTTATATAACATGTGCCTAACACAATAAAAATTATCTTATATATGTTTTTGTGGATTTTAAAATATTTTTTTGGTGTATGGTTTACATTATGTTACTAAAGATAACCACTTAGGGCTACAGAATCATGAACATGGATTTGGGTTGCACTGACTACTTGGGAGCTGCTAACGGCAAGACTCACAGGAGTTAACCAGAGCTCCTCCAATGTCTCACACCATCTTCAGTGCTCAAGGAGGCACAGCACAACCCATGAATACGCATAGACTTTGTTTTCAACCCCCTGATTTCCACCAACAGAACACTTCATGTTAGACCAGGGTTTCTCAGCTTCCACACTATTAACATTTTGTGGCAAAAAATTCTTGGCTGTGGGAGCTATCCTGTGCATGGGTATTTTGGCAACATTCCTAGCCTCCACCACTAGATGCAAACAGCACCCCTTACTCCATGGAGACAACTGAAAATGTTTCCCAACAATGTCAAATGTCTCCTGGAGGGCAAAATGATTCCTGAGAACCACTATACTAGAGCTCTCCAAAAGCGTTAACAGGGCTAGGCATGTGGTGCAGTAGCAGAATGCATGCTTGGCATGCACAAGGCCTTGGGTTCAGTCCTCAACACTGTCAAAAACTAATTAATAAGGGCTGGGGTTGTGGCTCAGTGGTAGAGCACTTGCCTTGCCACGTGCAAGGCACTGGGTTTGATCCTCAGAACCATATAAAAAAAATAAAAATAAACAAAATAAAGTTTTAAAAAGTATATTTTTAAAAAACTAATTAATTAAGGGCTGGGATTGTGGCTCAGCGGTAGAGTGCTCGCCTAGCACGGGCGGGACCCAGGTTCGATCCTCAGCACCACATAAAAAAATAAATGCATTGTGTTGTGTCCATCTACACCTAAAAAATAAATGTTTTAAAAAACTAATCAATTAAAATTTAAAAATTGAAATATGAAGGTTAAATTACACATTTTTGAAGTACAAAAACAAAAACTAGTCTATTTCATTAGAGGCCTATAACTATCAGTGAATTAGACCCCTCCCTCAAAAGACAAAACAAATAAACCAAGAGAAGAGCTTCGGCAAGTCTCTACCTGAAGAAGGTGAGCAGGAATACAACCACATGGTGATGGCTGAACCGCGAGAGCGCAGTCCCTCTTGGGAAAACACTCGGCCAGGCCATGGTGCTCCGGTTGCCTTCTCACTCTGACCTTGAAGTTTGCTGGTGAATGATTTACATCATGGCTTCTCTCTAGAGAAAGATAAAACACTTTCTTAACCTTATCCAAAAGAGAAGGAAAAATGTAATCCAAATCATCCAAAAGATTACACAAAACCTGAGCTAATTAGGCTATGACTAACCAACATATAATTAAGCCGGGGGGGAAGCTCCTGGGCTAGATGATACCAGAAAATCTGATTCATAACTATGTTTTATAGTCATCAGCTAGTCCTAACAAAACCCTTGACCAAAGATTATATCTATCCTCATAGATATAATCTATCATATAAACTAAGAAGAAAATCACTTTTTAGTGGGAGTGGGATACTGGGAATTGAACCTGGGGGTACTCTACCACTGAGCTACATCCCCAGCCCTTTTCATTTATTTTGAGACAGAGTCTTGCTTCATTGCTGAGAGTCTCACTAAGTGGCTTAGGCCAGCCTTGAACTTGTGATCCTCCTGCCTCAGCCTCCCAAACTGCTGGGATTACAGGCATGTGCCACCAAACCCAGCTGAAAATCACTAGTTCTTACAGAAAATGAACAAAGTAAATAAGCCACTTATAAGAAACAAACTATGAAATTTAAGAAATAAAAGTTCCAATCTCTCTAATAATATTAGGTAAGAAAATGTTGCATTTTTAAAGATTGTGCTTAGGGTATGGCACAGTGGCAGAGGATGTGCATAGTATACAAAAGCCCTTGGGTTGAATCCCCTCACCACACACACACAAAAAAAAGTGCTCAGTGCAGCTCAGGGTATGTTGTATGTTCCTGAACTCACATGCTGCTAATGAACGTGATCATGAGTACAACATTACAGGAAGAAAACAACCCAGCCATGTTCATCATGAGCTTTGACACAAAATTCCAATGTCTAGGAACTGATTCCTAAAGAAATATGAAATGCCTTTAGATCTATAAACAAAGGTAGTTTTCACAAAACATTACAGGAGCTTTTTTATATTTAAGAAATGAGGGGCTGGATGTGGCTCACGGGGTAGCGCGCTGGCCTGGCATGCGTGAGGCACTGGGTTCGATCCTCAGCACCACATAAAAATAAAGATACTGTGTACACCTAAAACAACAAAAAATTGTTTAATTGAAAAAATAAATGACTGTGTGTCATTCATAAAGGAACAGAAAAAAAGGAAAGGCATCTCTTTCTACATTCCACTAGCTTTTCATTCAATTGTACTCATTTCCCTGCACTAAAAGCTGCAGCCACCTCTGATATCCAAGAATTATACATAAAATAAGCAGTTACACTTAATATCTCTAGTACTCGATCTGCAGAAAAACTTAAATATGCAAAAAACAGGAGATGATGATCAATCCAACTCCATGTTTACATAACACAACAGGGAATACACTAGCCTGTCTAGGTAATCAAATTAGGAGCAATTTTAATTTTCTTCAATATACTTCCCTGAAAATTCTATAATAAACATGTGCATTATCTTTATAATGGAGGGCATATCCACAGCTTTAGAAAAGTTCTACAATTTGTCTGCATATTAGAGAAACACATTAACAAAACGAAGTGTATGATATACTACCACAATCAAGGTTGGAGATAAGCCCAAGAGCAACCACAGGGAGAATCGCAGGGCTTTGCTTTATATTTAAGGGCTTTGCAGGTGTAAGTTCACTATAATTGTCAGATTACTTATTGTCACAGGCCACAATTTAGTGGATATACTCAAGCCTTACAGACTGAGAGAATCAGCAGAAAGGCCTTTTTTTTTTTTTTTTTTTTTTTTGGTACCCAGGATTGAATTCAGGGGCACTCAACCACTGAGCCCCTACACCAGCCCTATTTTGTATTTTATTTAGAGACAGTGAGTTGCTTAGTACCTCACTGTTGCTGAGGCTGGCTTGAAAAAGCAATCCTCCTGCCTCAGCCGCCCAAACTGCTGGGATTACAGGTGTGTGCCATTGCACCTGGCCATTCTTACATCTTTTAGAATAAAAAAGCAGGACAATCTCTTTTCCTCTTACCATAAAGGATCATGGCCAACACCAATATAACAAAAGATAGATTAACAAGAGAAAAAGCATAACAAATGTATTTAATCCCAGTTTTATGTGACATGGAAGCCTTCAGATAAAAGACCCAAAGGCCATGTGAACTATTCATTTTCATGCTTAAGTTCCACTAAGCAGGGACAGCCATGCAGAAATATGATTAGACAAAAAGGGTATAACCTAAAAGTAAAAGACATGGCAGGACACCCAGACAGGCTTGTGTGTTCAGATTTCTCTTGGCCCTTCAGTTGTAGCATTCCTGCTAGGTATGGGGCAGGACCCTTTTTGGAATGAGGGGGCTTATGACCTACACTCAGGCAGGTCACAGAATTTCCTTATGGCCAGTTCTTACACAGAAAGGCAGAGGAAGTGAGAGCAACATGTTCAGGTTTTGTAGCTTGCTTAAGGAGAAGGGGTTCAGGTCTCTAGGACCTGCCTTGAGGAAGAAAAACTAGTTTCTATGGCTTGCCTTGGGAAACAGGAGCCAGGAGGACAGGAAAAGGTCACAGACTGACTGCTTTCCTTAGGCTTATTTCTGAGGCCTTCACTTTGGGGCATCATTTTCAGAGCCCCAAAAAGAACAAAACCAAGGTGTCATTAAATTGTCTACATATAATAAGAGCTGTTTCACCTACTCTCTGTGAGCCACTGGAGAGGTCACCTCTGTGAGTCACAAGACTGTCATCTGTAAAGTGCTCCATCTCCTTTGATTGCTGTTCAGCTAAAACAGTGCATGAGGAGTGGGAGGGCTGGGGACATAGCTCAGTGGAGTGTGTTCCTAGCACACTCGGGGCCCTGAGCTCAATCCTCAGAAGCACAGGTGGAGAAAATGCTGCCCAAGATTAACCCTAAATCAGTAGAATGTAGCTAATTTCATTCTTAAATTATGAGTAGAATGGACTGTAAAATTCCATTTACAAAATGTAAATAAACTTTGTAATTCTAGAAAGCTAGAGCTTTTAGCATTAAGAAATAAAAGTTCCAAACAAGATCTTTTAGCATTGCTACTAAACTTACTTCCATCTAGAAAAATAAACATGAAATACAAACAGAACAACCTGAAGTTTCAACCACTCTCTAGAAATTACAGCTCTCTGGACTAAATACATTTCACCTCAAAATACCATACTGGGGGCTGGAGTTGTGGCTCAGCGGCAAAGCACCCATCTAGCGCGTGTGGGGGCCCTGGGTTTGATCCTCAAGACCACATAAAAAAAAATGAAATTAAGGTGTTGTGTCCAACTATAAGGAAAAAACAAAAACACCAAAAAAAAAAAGAACCACTGTACTGAATATTTTAGGAAAGGATACAGGATATAATACAATTCCATTATTTATCAAGTATAATAATAATTTCAAAAATGTGTACTCCAATGCATTGAGATTGTACTGCTTTGGCAACAGTTGTATGATTTGGAGGAGGGAGGCTTGTACAGTTACATTAATAGATTTAGGGCTGGGGATATAGCTCAGTCAGTAGAGTGCTTGCCTCGCATGCACAAGGCTCTGGGTTCAATCCCCAGTACCACCACCAAAAAAAAAAAATTAATAGCTTTAAATAACTACTGAGATATGAGACCATGTGGATGTTTTTTCGGGAGCAGGGGGTGTGCCAGGGATTGAACCCAGGGGCACTTTACTACTGAGCTATATCCCAGCTCTTTTCAATTTTTTATTTTGAGACAAAGTCTCACTAAGTTGCTGAGGCTTATGCTCCTTCTGCCTTAGCCTCCCTAGTCGCTGGGATTACAGATATGTACCACCACATCCAGCTTGTAAATGTAGTTTCTAAATAAACTATCTTTTCCTAGACCATAGAGATGAAAGAGAAAAGTCCTAATAAGCACATTGGGAAAATAGTTTCAAATAATCACTTGCTGTTGACAGAATGCCATTTAAAATGAATATTATAACATATAGGCCTATGTAATTATAACTAAAAATAATAACTTGCACATATATCCCCATACATCAGAGTTAACTTTCAACTGGCTGTGAAGAACACAGGAGTTTTTGCCAAGTCTGAATCAGCCAGCACATCCTGCTTTCTAAAGACCACTTTCTGTAATGTTCTAAATACAGACTGAAGAGAGGTCAAATATCTTTGAAGTATAGTAAATGCTACTGTAACTGAGAAGACCACTCTGAGTATGGTGGCACATGCCTGTAATCTCAGCAACTTGGGAGGCTGAGGCAGGATGAGTACGAGTTCAAACCTGGCCTCAACAACTCAGTGAGACCCTGTCTCTAATAAAATATTAAAAAGGGCTGGGGATGTGGCTCAGTGGTTAAGTGTCCCTGAGTACAATCCCTGGCACCAAACAAAAAAAAGAAAACCAAATTTCAGTGTTTCTGAAATCACAGTAGTTTGTCATTGAGTGGCTTCTCAATGAATACTGAATGCATACCTATCACATAATAGTTGATAGTAATTATTGTTTTTTAGATTACAGCATTTTTAATTCACAAGAATAGTATATATTTTTCATATATAGTACGCTTTGAAATATTTGTATATTGTAGAATGGCTCAGTCAACCTGATAAAAATGTTTTTGTTTTTGTTTTTTTTTTTTTTTTTTTTTTTTTTTTTTTTTTTTTTTGTGTGTGTGTGTGTGTATGTGTGATGAGAAACTTAAAATCTACTCAGCAATTTTCAAAATACAATACAAGGGCTAAGGGCATAGTTCAGTGGCAGAGCACTTGCCTAGCATGCACCAAGCCAAGAGGGTAAAGGTAAGGCACAAAAAATACATTGTTATTAACTATAGTTACCCTGTTGCACAACAAAACTCTAGAATTTATTCCTGACATCTAAATTAAACTTTGTATCCTTTGACAATATCTCCCTATTTCCCCCACAAGAATCAATTAAAAAGAAAAAACAATTCTTGTTAAAAATAAAGTCCTTGCCCATCACAGTGGCACATGCCTATAATCCCACCTCCTCAGGAGGCTAAGGCAGAGGAATAAAAAGTTCGGGACCAACCTCCACAGCTGAG